CCACTAGTCTCAAGAATCCCTGTTGTACGAAGCATCCGCTGGCACTTATCCAAGAAACCCTGGACATCCTCGCCCTCTGTACTGCTGAATGATGGAGGCTAGAGTCTACCAAACCTCTCAAGTCGACACTGCTCATCATCCAACATAACTGGTACCACAAACTCCTGAGCTGGTACAATCGGCTGGGCTGGAGGTTCCCTCGGTGTTTGGAGTCCCTACACAACCTGCTCAGGTGTGCGAGCAACGGAAGTCTGGGTGCCTTTCCTAATTTGGGAAGTAGCTGCGGCCGTAGTAGCTGAGACCGCCTGAGACAAATCGGTACACACTAATAAGATCTAAGCTAAAGCCTCCAGAAGACCTGGAATCACAATAGGCACAACTGGTGCCTGAACTGGTGCTGCTATAGCGTCTACAACTGGGACCTGGTCCAGAACTGGGGCAACTGGTGGATCTGTCGGTGCTACTCTAGCTGCTCTGCCCCTGCCACGGCCCCGACTGCAACCTCGACCTCTGGTGGCCCCAGTGGGTGGTACTGGCAGTTTCCCCCCTATCCGGTAGCATGTGTCCTCACCATCTGTGAGAGAATGAAATAACAGAAGTTTAGTACTCAAACAAACAGATCCGCACGACAAGAATTTCAGGAATATGAAGCTTTTCCTAAAGGTTCTGTAGCCTCTCGAGGATAAATACAAATGTCTCCGTACCGATCCGCGAGACTCTACTAAACCAGCTCATGACTCCCGAGACCTATGTAACCTAGGCTCTAATACCAACTTGTCACGACCAACTTATCACAACCCCAAGTACCGGTCGTGATGACGCCTATCACATCACTAGGCAAGCCAACCAATCAACTAACCACAACCTATTTCCTTTAGTAATAAACCATTTTCAACACAGGTTTTAAATACTGATTTCATAATAAACGTTTAAAACGATAGAAAATATGCAGAAGTCTAAATAAAGATAAACTACACAACCCCAACAATCTGGTATCACAAGTCTAGAGCCTCTAATACAAGTCTGAATACCTAATACATCAATAATCTAGAAAATGCAAAAACTAACATGATAGAAGGGAGAAAACAGGGCTGCGAACGCCATGCAGCTACCTAGAAATCCCCGATAGAAACTGAATTAGTTGAAGATTCTCACTTGGCCGCTCAAGCACCTTGATCTGCACGCAAGGTGCAGGGAGTAACGTGAGTACGCCAACTCAGTAAGTAACTAAAGTAAATAATGGACTAAAAGCCGTGGCGAGCAGTTCAAAAAATATATAACTTTAAAATTAATTCTGTCACAAAATCATCATTTCTAGTTTAAAACATTGAAATCAGTTACTTAGCAATATATCCAACATAGGCTAATTTAAAAGAAGAGTGAAAACAGTGGGAACATCATAACAGGGCCCCTCAGGAAAGGAATCACTCAGAATATGGCCCCTCGGGCAGTCTCTCAGTCACTCATGACTCAACTCTCGTCACACAGTACTCACTCTAAGCATTCGGCTCATTAGTATCTCAAAATAATAGAAATCATAGTAACCGCTGCGGCGTGCAGCCTGATCCATATATGATAGTCGACTACGCTCACTGGGGGTGTGTAGACTCTGGAGGGGCACCTACAGCCCAAGCATCATATCGCTGCGGCGTACAACCCGATGTAATATATATATCATTGCGACATACAACCTGATCCATATAAGTGTTGCTATGGCGTGCAGCCCGATCCATTCCTCACATATAAATATATAAGTATCCTCACAATTGGGTTCTCAACCTCTCTAAGTCCTTAACCTCACAACCTCTCGGGCACATCAATAGAAATTAGGGATCTCAACCCGAACAATCCTCAAAAATAAGAGTAAAGTGATAAAACCAGTTTTTAACATTTAAACAGGTAAAACATGACTGAGGATATGCTTTTAGCAAGTAAAGTGAGGAAAAATGGTCAAAATGCCCGTAAGGGTTGCTACAGATCGGCACAAGGCCCCAAACATGACATACAATCCATAATACGGTATAAATATCCAAAATACAGAATAACATAATATTTCCAAATCAAATACGCGGCTTAATAGTCACTACGGGACGGACCAAGTCACAATCCCTACTGGTGCACTCCCACCCGCTCATCACCTAGCATGTGCGCTACCGCATTTATCAAAAACAAGTCAAATGCCGGGGTTTCGTACCCTCATTTCCATATTTACAATGGTTACTTATCTCAAACCAGTGAAAATACTACTCCGCGATGCCTTTGCCCCTCGAATCGGCCTCAACTCGCGTCGAATCTAGTCAAAATCAGAATCATGACATCAAAATATGCTAAGGGAACAAAGCCCTAGCGAAAACATCGAAAAGTAACAAAAATCCCGAAATTACCAAAACCCGACCCCGGGCCCATGTCTCAAAATTCATAAATTTTTACATCAATAGATTCCTCGTCTCTCCACGAGTCTATGCATATCAAGAACTCTAAAATCGGAGTCCAAATGACCTCTCAAATCCTCAATTTAAGGCCTCTTAAACTCAAACCCTAATCCTCCATTTTTAGCCCCTTTAATTCCCTTAATTACAGCCTTAATACATGAGATACTACCATAGAGATGTGTTTTAGGTCCAAACATCCTTACCTTACAAAGTTCCCTTGAAATCCCTCTTCCAAATCGCCCAAAAAGCTCCAAGCCGAAGTCCAAAAATGGTGAAATAACTCAATTTCGCGAAATGGAATAATTTATATGTTCTGCCCAGGCATTTTCGCATCTGCGACTCTCCAACCGCTTCTACGGTACCGTATTTGTGGTCATGCCTCCGCTTCTGCGGAAATCACTTAAAGTCTCAAAATCTCATCTGCGATAGTCCATCCGCACCTGCGACTCTACAGGTGCGATCCCACACCGCATCTGCGGTTCCTGGAAAAATCTCAACACCCCGCTTCTGCGGTTCATCTCCCGCACCTGCGGCTCCTGACAAATCCCTTGAAAAACCGCATCTGCGTCTTCTCTTCCGCACGTGCAGCGCTGCACCTGTGGTCCCCCAAACCGCAGGTGCGAAAACACCAGAAGCAGCAAAGTATTGCACTTTCACAAGTCTCAAACCTTCCCGTTAACCTTTCGAAATCACCCCGAGGCCCCCGGAACCTCAACCAAAAGCCCAAACATAACCTAATACCTTATACAAACTTGTTTCAATCATCAAAACACTTCAAACAACATCAAATCAATTAAAACATCTCGGATTCAAGCCTGAGTTTCTAAAATCTTCCGAATTCCGTTTTTGATCAAAACCCAACTAAATCACGTCTGCATGACCTGAAAATTTACATACACATCCCAAATGACACGACAGAGCTACTGCAACTATCAGAATTCCATTCCAACCCCTATATCAAAATCTGGCCTATCAACCGGAATCACCAAAATATCAACTTCGCCAATTCAAGCCTACATCCACTACGGACTTCCAAAATTCATTCCGATCGCACTCCTAAACCACAAATCACCTACCGAAGCTAACCGAACCATCGGAACTCACATCCAAGCCCTCTAACACATAAGTCAACATCCGGTTGACCTTTTTCCAACTTAAACTCCCTTAAAAGAGACTAATTGTCTCAAACCTTACCGAAATAATTCCGGACTCGATCCGACCAAACCGATACCATAAAACACGGATAACGAAGCATAAAGAAGCAGAAATTGTAGGAAATAGAATGGTAACTCATGAGACGACTGGCCGGATCATCACACTTAAGTTACTTGTACTTTAAGTAGCATATAATAGATTGTTTTCATTAGTTTTTTATGGGGATGGAGCACGCATGCACACACACACACAGATATATNAATATTTAGTGTAATTATATTATTTTAACAAAAATTAAATACCTATGGGGCTTACGCCCTGTGCCTCGGGGATTATGCCTCGCTAAGACATATGTAAAATGCCTCGCTTTACGCCCCCACCTTTTAAAATACTGCTCCTGAGTTCCGTGATTTTAGCAAGGTTGCTTTAATCATAACTTGGCTTAATTAATTGTTTCATTACGCATTTTAGAACCTATGTGTATTTTACATCTTGCTTATTTTAATTACAGCGTTATGGATTTAACCTTTGAAACAGATCATATGCGTGTAATTCCGTTTTTATTAAGTGCATTAAAATTATATTACGCGTACATATACACAATAAATAATACATTATTAATTATTATAATTGTTTGGTCAAAGTCGCGCGATCACGTACTTTGATTTATTTTGAGAATCATAATTATGTCACATAAACCTGTACACAATCACAATAATAGATTAGAATGCGCCTAAAGCATTCTACACATATGAATTATTTTCCTAATCTTTGAGATTATTGTAAGACAAAGAGTATTATGGAATTGTTATGGAGGGAAAGAATCTTTGTGTATAGAAAAGTAGTTAGCTTAAAGAAAGATGATCCAACTATGTTATTTATGGCCAGATGAGAATAATTTTTTTTTGCCCAAATTCTTTCTTTTCTTATATCCCAAAGACCAACTCTCCTCATAAGTCAGAACCAAATCATGGCTCAACCAAATCCAATCCAATATCCCATATTATGTACATTTTTTCTTAAACAAAATTACATCACAATCTCATGAATAAAAGTAATAAGCAGTCCAACGTTACAGTGATTCAATAAACTCATTATTTGGTTAAATCAACTCAAAACAAAACCTTGCATCTAGAAAGATTAATAAAATATTTTAATTGTGAGCAGATTATTATCTAAAATAGAACAAAAAGTAAAATTAATTCTAAAACTTGTCATGCAGTCCATTTAGCTTTGATTAAGAAATGCGTACTCATTAATTCTCTAAGAGTCCGTAAATTGAACTAACAATAGCAAAACAACCAATGTTTATTTCAACTGAAAGAATAATGAACTAGAGGCACAAAACAACAAGAAATGACTTCACACACTATTAACATAACATTATTAACAATAAAGTAAAAGAGAATGAACCTTTATGTAGCAAACTTTCTTTATTATTTGGAAACCAACTTTGAACAAAGTCTCGAACGAATCTGAGATGGTTATCGACATCTGATCGTACGCCGGAATCTCGAACCAATACTTTGTTGAGGACTTTTCCAGGACTATTTTCACTCAGATTTTTAACAACCGAGAATGAGATTTTTCTGCTAGTTTTTGTGATGTTTTTCAATTGTGTTCCGAGGTGGTTTTTGGGATAAAAATGGTTGAGGTTGCAGCTGCTTTTTGATGGGAGTTCTAACGATTTCAGTCGCTATTTTTTATAGCTGAAGTTTTAGCTTTTCATGTCTGAAAATGGGCTGGAGATGGGTGGCGTTTTTCAGCTACATTTAGGGCTGTTTTGGGGTGATTTCTCTATGTTTTTGGGGTAATTTGGAGTTGGAATTTGGGGTATATGAGGGTGATTTCACAGCTGGGTTTTGGTTGCTTTTTAGCTTATATTTTGGACTGATTTTCGCTAGGGTTTTGGTGTGGAAAAATGGCTGGTTTATGGACTATTTTGGGATGAGTTTAGTGATTCTTTCATGGTTGTAAAATAGTTAGATACTGCTATCGTTTTTGAGGAAGAAGGAGCAACTGCGTTGTTTTTGTTCTTAGAGGAAGAAATTGATTCACAACGTTTTTTTAGTAGTAGAGCTCTAGTTTTTTTAATCTCTCCCTCTGCTTTTTCAGATCCCCCTTTTAAAGAGTGAGGGTCTAGGGCTTCGGTCGCAAGGATAATTGGGCCGCTGCACTTGGCCCAATTCAGAATATGGGGCAGACGACCCTTTCCTCTCTTCTTGATTTTGACTAATTAACTACATGACATTTAAAAGCTTATTGCAAAGTTAGCTTGTTTAGTGATTGACTAACTAACTAATTACCTAAATAATTAATTCCAAGAAAGCAAAATAACGACAAAGCGACTAATGTATTTTTCATATTTTAGTATTTTTACAAATGCAATTAATTATGCAATTAAAATCTAAAATGTAAAGATTAAAATATTTTTTTTTCTAGGATTTAAAATGCTACTAAAAATATACCAAACACAAATATGCATAAAACAAATCAAATAAGGTATAGAAAAATTCTTAAAATTATATAAAATAATTAAAGCTATTTTTGAAGTTTTTTAGGAGTAATTTCATATTATTGGGCAAAAATTATGTGCTCACAACTGCCCCTCTTTGCTCGGAAACATGAAATTTTTTTGGGCAAAGATAAAGTGAGTGATATGACTAATTTTTGGCCATAACATTATTCAAAAGGGAATCAGATTATGTGTAGTTCAAGGAGAATGATAAAATGATGAGTTGGAGAGTCGACTGAAGTTTCGCCGAGGCTCCGGTCCATGGTCCTGTTATTACATCAAAATCAAAAGAAACTAAACAAGCTTATCAGCTATGAGTTACAAGATTCCTATCTATAAGTCTTCTAAAACTTGATCTTGAGTCTTGACTTGTTCCTCACACAAACTATGATCTAAATCTTGATACTTGCTAGCTGCAGGTGCTAATTAATCCTTCTATGGCTTCTTCTTATCAAAACAAGATATGCAATGGTCGTGACTTCAGTCATATCTTGAGCAGTCCACATCTTTTCATCCGCTTCTGCATTTTGGATTCACTTCTTTTTCTTTTTCTTTTCTTTATTGTGAATTGAGATTTCTTCTTTTGATTATCTCGAATCTTGTGCCTCGAGGTAAAACCTGCTCAGACACTAAAACAAAATGAACTAAGTTTTCTGCCCCCGTTTTCACTAGAAAAAATTCGTGAGTTATTTGTCACAAAGCTCTATACTAATTCATTGTTGAAAGAAATAAAAGGTCGGGATTGGTGTACACTGGGAAAACATGATGAATTTGTTTATTTTTTTTGATGGTGTTCCTTTATTGTCAAAGATGTCTCAACTAAGGATTGATGTACCTAATGTTGGGAAAATGTGGCCAAGGAATGGTATACCCTATATTGGCAATTATATTAGTTAGTGATGTACCCTGCATTGAAAACCAAATCAACTAGGGAGTGTTATACCTAATGTTGGAAAATATAGCTAGGGATTGGTGTACCTTATATTGGTAAGGAGATTAGGGATTGGTGTACCCTGCATTTAAGCTCACATCAACTGGGGAATGAAGACCCTATGTTGGAAGCGTGAGACTAGGGAGTGGAGACCCTATATCTAAAATAAAACCAACTAGGGAGTGGAGACCCTATATTGGAAAAGGAAACTAGGGAGTGGAGATCCTATGTATAAAAGGATATAACCTAGGGAGTGGAGACCATATGTCTAAAATAAAATCAACTAGGGAGAAGAGACATGTTGGAAAGGAGTCTAGGGAGTGGAGACCTAATGTCTAAAATAACGTCAACTAGGGAGTGGAGACCCTACGTTGGAAAATAGACTAGGGAGTGAAGACCCTATGTCTAAATAGAATCAACTAGGGAGTGGAGACCCTATGTTGGAAAAAAGACTAGGGAGTGGAGGCCCTATGTCTAAAATAAATTCAACTAGGGAGTGAAGACCCTATGTTGGAAAAGAGACAAGGGAGTTGAAACCCTATGTCTAAAATAAAATCAACTAGGGAGTGGAGACCCTTGTCTAAAATAAAAATAAAATTAACTAGGGCGTGGAGACCCTATGTTGGAAAAAGAGACTAGGGAGTGGAGACCCTATGTCTAAAAATAACTTCAACTAGGGAGTGAAGATCCTATGTTGAAAAAAGAGACTAGGGAGTGGAGACCCTAGGTCAATAATAAGACCAACTAGGGAGTGGAGACCCTATGTTAGAAAAGAGACTAAGGAGTGGAGACACTATGTCTAAAATAACTTCAACTAGGGAGTGGAGGCCCTATTTTAAAAAGTGACTAGGGAGTGGAGTCCCTATATCTAAATAAAATCAACTAGGGAGTGGAGACCCTATATTGGAAAAGCGACTAGGGAGTGGAGATCCTATGTCTAAAATAAAATCAACTAGGGAGTGGAGACCCTATATTGGAAAAGCGACTAGGGAGTGGAGATCCTATGTCTAAAATAAAATCAACTAGGGAGTGGAGACACTATGTTGGAAAAACGACTAGGGAGTGGAGACCCTATGTCTAAGATAAAATCAACTAGGGAGTTGAGACCCTATGTTTGAAAAATGACTAGGGAGTGGAGACCCTATGTCTAAAATAGAGGTGGAAAACGGGCAGGCCGGGTTGTATATGAGCGGGTCAAAATGGATAATTTAATTAACGAATAAATTATCCGACCCAAAAAAGTATTTGAAACGGATAAAAAATGGGTTTATCCGGCGGATAATATGGATATCCATATTATCCATGACTTTTTAAATATGATTACTTATGAGAGATGTTACGACCCGAACGGTCGTTTTGAGCTCTAGCACGTCATTCAGCATCTTGAGACCATGAGCAATTTCACTTCAGGTATTATGACTTGTACGCGTGGTCGGAATTGAATTCCGGGGGGTTTGGAGTTGATTTGGAAAGAAAATTCTCATTTCGAAAACTTTAATTTGGAAGAATTGACTAAGATTTTATTTTTGAGCAAGTAACTTCAGAATTGGGATTTAAAGGTTTCAGTAGGTTCGTATGATGATTTTGGACTTGGGCGTATGCCCGGATCGAGTTTTGGATGACCCGGGAGCGTTTCGGCACCTATGGTGAAAGTTAGCATTTTTGGAGGAATTTATAAATTTGGGTTGAAGAGCATTTCAATGTTATCAATGTCCGTTTGGGATTTCGAGTATGGGAATAGCTCCGTATGGTGATTCTGGTATTGGGAGCGCGTCTGAAAGTGGATTCGGAGGTCCGTAGGTCATTTTGGAGTCGTTTGGCAAAAGTAGCAATTTGAAGGTTTTGAGAAGTTTGACCGGAAGTGTACTTTTTGATATCAGGGTTGGATTCCGATTCTGGGAGTTTGAGTATGTACGTAATGTCGAATATGACTTGTGTACAAAATTTGAGGTCAATTGAACGAGATTTGGTAGGTTTCGGCATTGAATGTTGAAGCTTGAATTTCTCAAGTTCATCAAGCTAGAATTGGGTTGTGATTCGTGATTTCGATGTTGTTTGATGGGATTTGAAGGCTTGACTAAGTTCGTAATGTGTTTGGGGACGTTTTGATTTAATTGAATGAGGTCCCGGGGGCTTCGGGTGGATTCCGGGTGATTAACGAATCGAATTTTGAGTTTGAAGAAGAATTGAGGCAACTGACATCTGGTGTAACCACACCTGCAAGCTTTTGGCCGCAGGTGCGGAGCCGCAGAAGCGGCCTAGAAGTCACAGAAGCGGATTAGGGCCGCCCAGGTAAAGGACCGCAGGTGCGGAGCCTTGACTGCATCTGTGCAAGCATAGAAACAGAAATGAAGGCCGCAGAAGCGGCAATGGGCGCAGGTGAGAAAGAGCACCACAGAAGCGGTGAGGAGTCCGCAGGAGTGGATGTCACTGGGCAGAACGCATTAAATAGCGGGGTTTGGCCATATTTGCTCATTTCTCCATTCTTGGGCGATATTTGGAGCTTCTTGAGAGGGGCTTCCACCTAGCAACTTGGAGGTAAGTTAATCTCACCTATTGTAAGTTAAATACTTGGATTATATCTAGATGTTAACGTAAAAATCATGGGGAATTAGTAAAAATTTGGGATTTTGAAGAAAAACCTATAAATTGGTATTTTCGGATGTTGACCACGAATTTGGGCATGGAATTGGAAACAAATTATATATTTGAGTTCGTGGGGTTATGGGTAAAGTTTATCTTCGGAAAAATTCGAAATCCGAGCACGTGAGCCTGAGGGTGATTTTATCGACTTATTGAACGGAGTTGGGAATTGATATAAATTGAATTGTTATGAGTGTTTGAGGCATATATTTATGGGTTTGTTTACTAGTTTTGGAGCGTTGGGCATCGGTTTGAGACATCGGAAGGGCTTGGGAGCCGGTTATGTAACTTAGGAGCAAGGTAAGTCTGCTTTCTAACCTTGTAAGAGGGAATTATCTCCATAGGTGAAGTAATTAAATATGTACTCCTGTTTGTGGGGGATACGTACGCACGAGGTGACGAGAGTCCGTGCGTAGCTACTGTTATGCTTAAGTACGGGTAGTCTAAGGCCCAAAAGCATGCTTTACTTGCAATATTTGCAACCTTATTGTGAATTTAAAATGCTTAAATCATATCGAACTTGGTAAATACGTTTTTAAAAGGCTAAACATCACCTTCTTGACTTTTAAAAGAGAAATTGCCTTTTCTTTGGATAATTGCCCTTTGATGAATTCTTGATTGACTGTTTGAATATGCTTATCTTTTGTGGAATGGGCCGAATGCCTCAGTAGATTAAATAGATACATCTATGACTCGCGCCATTCGACCCTCTGACAGTGCACAATTTAAATATTATGTTGGATCGGGTCGTACAACCTCGGCTTGATTTGCGCATGACTTGATTGATTGTTTTAGAATTATTGATAATTGATATGGCCTCATCGGCCAGAGATGTAAATTGTTAATAGATCAAAACAAGTTTAAGGATTTCTATTAACAAAAGAATTGTTTACCCGCTTCATGATTATTGAGTTTGTAGTTACCTTATAAAATCCATGACTTTTAACATTATTGGTATTATATTATTGGACCACTAGTAAGTGTCGAAGTCGACCTCTCGTCTACTT